CCCCAAAACCCCAAAACCCCAAAACAATTAAAGATTATGATAAGATTTGGAGAAAAAATAAATAAATTCGTAAAAAAACTTGACCTAGAATAAAATCATATTTCAAATATTGGAACTATCAGGATTACTTTATCTTTCAAAGTTCAAGACTTTGTTTTAATAACTATTTTCAATGGCTACTTTAATAATATTTTATTTTTCCTACATCTTTTATGAAGAATTTATCTATTTACTAGCAGTATAAATTCCTCCTTCAATTCCAATCTCATTAGATGACTTAAGGAGATTTTTATGTATTCTTTAGTCAATTTTGTTGTTCTTTTTCTAAATTTCAATCTGCTACAGTTAAATTTTTCTACTGTTTAGATAATCGATTGTTCTGAATTTAATTCTTTGCTAAATTAATAACATTCTCTGACATGTAGGGTATTATTGTTCTCTAATATTTTGATATCATTATCTAGGATAATAATTCAAGATTTCTTAGTTTTATTATTATCTTACTTATATCAAACTCAGAGTCAATTTTAGACTGACCTTTCTTAAATAGAGTAAGCATTAAAATTGACCTTTTGTATTTATCAGATGCTCTCTTTCGACAGTGTTTGAATTTTTCGAATAAAATCCTAAAGTAATTTATTTTGAAAGGCTTGAGATTTATGATATATTCCCAGATTTGATCTTAGCTTTTAACTCTATTTTAATCATCATTTTAAAAATCCCATTAGTAATCATCTTCATCTAGAGATAAGTTTTGTCCAAAACTTGCAGATTCTTTGTTTTAAGTAGCTTTTGAAGTTTGTGTCATGTTTTGAGTTTATTCTTTTTGGACTAAGTCAACAAGAGTAGCTTCACTTCATTCTCTCAGTATTTTTGCTCTTTCTTTTTCATTGCTAACTAAATTTAAGAATGTCTTTTTTAGTAAGCTTGAATAAAACAATTTAGACTAGATACTTCCAATAATAATCTAAGCTGCTGTAAATATGATACTCATGAAACCACCAGTATTAGTTATAGCATCTAAAACAGTAAATGTCTGCCTCAAAGCAGTCTCTATTTTATCATTTTAGCCAAAATAAATTCTAGCTAATTCTTAATTATCAGTTTTTTCAAACTTTTATACCAATGTATAGAACTTGAGTAAAAGAATTTGTCATATAGGAATCCTAAAGTTCAATCTCATTCTTTTGAACATTTAATATAATGTCATTTCTTTCTTTATAGTTCAAAGTGAAAAATATTTGAGAGTCTAATAATTAAATAGGTTGCTCAAAGTCATTTTGCTGAAAATTTTGAAAGGTATAATTCATATGAACTATCGTGTTAGTTATAGTATTTTGTATCTCTGTTTAATTTTTGCAATATAGATTTTGATTTGGAAAGGTTAAGTTAAGCATAGTCTAATTACATTTTAGAATTTTTATATTCAAAGCAGCTTCCTCATCAGAATAAAATGTTCCATAGATATCTATTTCATCATCTGTATTCAGGCAAAGCATATTTTTAGTTATTTCCACATTATACCCATAGGTATTCTCGCATTGCTTAAATTAAACAGTTCTATTCTCTGGATCATAGTTAGTTGAATATCTTTCCAAAATAGCCTAGACTGATATGTATTCTTAAAAATTGAAGTCAAATGGGCTGTAATTACTATCCAGAAAATTAATTTAGACTGCAAAGTTTGATCTATTCAACCTTATCGGATCTTTCATTGCATTTAAGTTTAGATCTTAAAATTTATAAGATTTAGTTACTGAGCTTTTATCTCTTCTAAAAACTGTTACTAGTTATGACATGAAATATGCAAATATAATTCCTTATGCTATCAGAGTAACAATACCTCCAAAATTTGTTTTGAAAGTAGATGATTTTTTGTAAGATAGACTAATTGGATGTCCAAATTTATCTCGACTTTTTAAGAATTTTAGAATTTACTTGAAATTTGTAGCCATTGCTAAATTGAAAATATAAAATTAACACTTATAAATATAAATTATGGATTAAATTAATATTCAGTATTTTTTAAATTATTCTTACTACATTTATAAATTTTAGATTATTTTATTATTTTGATTGACGGGGTTTTGGGGTTTTGGGGGGCAAGATTACATCAAATTGATG